CTGTAACCTGTGAGTCTGGGTCTGCTATCATCTCTGTTCTCCAGCACAGCCTGAACATCCAGCAGATTTTCTCCTCTTCATCTGTTCTACAAAGTTTCTAATTTGGTCCAGTGTTCAGAGACGAGCCCTCACCTTTATGCGGACCATCTCCTCTGGGATGTTCATCATGGCGCCCGTCAACCAGTTCTCCAGACTTTTGGCAAAGTTACGAATGGCCTGAGTTAAGGCACCTGGGAGCAGAGTCGAAAAGTTAAAAAAAAAAAAAATTAAATAAAACAGTTTCGACTTTAAAGCAAAAAAACTTTCTCAATATTCCAGGTTCATTCTGACTATTTTGGATCATTAAAACAGTTTTTTCTCTGAATGAAGCTTCAATTTTCCTGACGGAGCCAGGAAAAACGGCCCCTAGGAGCAGAGTTGACAAGTAAAAAAAAAAACTAGAATAAAACAGATTTGACTTTCCTCAATATTCCAGGTTCATTCTGACTATTTTGGATAATTTAAACAGTTTTTTATCTAAATGACGCTTCATTTTAACTCTGCTCCTAGGGGCCGTTTGTGCCGGCTCTGTCAGGTAAAATTAAGCTTCATTTGGAGAAAAATGACAGTTTTCATGATCCGAAATAGTCAGAATGAACCTGGAATATTTACTTTTTTTTTTAAGTTGAAACTGTTTTATTCTTTTTTTTTTAACTTTTCGACTCAGCTTTCAGGGACCGTTTGTACCGCCTCTGTCAGGTAAAATGAATCTTCATTCAGAGAAAAAACAGTTTTAATGATCCAAAATAGTCGGAATGAACCAGGAATATTAAGGGATTTTTTTTTTTAAAGTTCTGACTATTCTGGATCATTAAAACTGTCCTTTTTCTCTGAATTAAGCTTAATTTTCTCTAACAGAGCCGATACAATCGGCCCCCGCCGCCCTGATAGCGCCCCCCTCCCCCCGGCGCGGCGCCTGTGTGTCTTTAGGCTCCCGGGACTCACTGGGGATGGGCCGCAGCACGTCGGGGATCAGGATCTCCACCAGCGTCTGGTACAGCAGGTTATCGCAGGCGCGCGTCCACTGCAGCAGCGGCTCAAACTGGCACAGCAGCACCAGGCAGGATTTGGGCAGACGCTTCTCAGACTCGTTGTGTCTGAGGATACAGGAGAATCAGAATCAGAATCAGAATCAGAATAAGGTTTATTGCCAAGTAGGTTTTTAGACTTATAAGGAATTTGCCTTGGTGTTTGGTGCACAACACAACACTTCTATGAGAAGCAAGAGATAAAATGTAGAAATAAAAATATAGGACAGAAATGATACAACTCACAGGCTGAGCGACTCCGCCTCGTTGCTTTGGCTGAACCTCCAGAAGGATTTCCACAGAGTTTCCACCAGAGTGAACTGAAGGTTGACCATCACATCCAGAACAGCCTGAGGAGGTTCGATTGGACGAATGTGTTAGAAAAAAAAGAACAAGAAGCTCTATCTTGTTCTAGGGATGTCCCGATCCAGCTTTTTTCTTTTAACTTCCGATCAGATACATATCAGATCATGTGTTAAAGTTTAAAGTTATTTAGCCTACAAATCCTGATCACCTCCAAAAAAAACAATCACCAAAAAAAATGGTACAAAGAAGAGCCCCTGGATAAAGAGGACTGGCTGGAAATAGTTAAGGACGTATATGTCATGGAGGACTTGACCCACAGAATAAGACTAAAGATGGACTCCTGAGTGGGAAAATGGACAAAGTGGATTATTTACATTGCAGTGACTAATTGAACATATGGGACATTGTTTATCCCAATCCGGAAAGTATATAGTTTTGTTTTTGTGTGTGGTATGTGTTTTTTCCTCTCCTTTTTCCTTTTTCACACCCTGTAGTTGTTAATAAAGAAAAATGAAGTTAAAAAAAAAGTTATTTTGCCTACTTACTTGGTTGTCAGACTCCTGTAACAACTTAATGGTTAGGACACAGACCTGTGGGTTAGAGATGCTAATGCTAATGCTCGTGTGGGATCGGACTTTAAAAAAAAACTGGATCTGGAGTCTAGATCTGCATTTTCGCCTGCTGGCCGATAAGCAGTTTTTTGCAAATATTGTAGCCCATCTGATCCAGATATCAGATCGGGACAAGCATGGATCTGTGGGACGCTATTGGTCAGAAAAAGGACAGACACGTACCTCACAGTGCTCTCTGTAAAGAGTCTGAAAGGCCTTCAGGTGTTCAAACAGGATCCCATCGGGGAGCGTTCGATTCTGCAGATCCAAGTCCACGAACTCAGGCAGCGGCCTGGACGCCTCTGCAGGGGACACCGAGAGGCAAAAACACACTTAGGTTTCACACGTTTCAATAGAAAACAAGCAGATAAAACAGCTAATGCTCCCACTGCCTGAGCTGGGAGGGAACAGGAACATCCGGGTGTTAACCCGATTCTTTAGTTGGAAACCTGAGAATAAACCAGAGTAAATCAAGAGTAAAAATTGACATTTATTGGGTCACAGGTAAAGTATTTCAGCGCTGGGCTCTTCACAGAGGAAACCTCTCTCTCAGGGTCTCAGTCGGCAAAGAGCCCCGAGATCTGGGTGTGATTTGTCTTTGTCTCCTTGGTTGGGCACACCCCTCATAAGGAGGACTGGACACAACCAAGTCCTATCGGTTAGTTATCTGTAAGACTAACAAGCCGGGTTCTAATTCATGTTGGTGACATTGGAATGTGGTACCAAATGGTGTGTGTGTGTGTTGACCTAAAGACGTGGATCTAATGCAACAGAGAAAGAGGATAGAAAGAAAAAGAGAGAACAAAGAGAATCTGTGGTTACAGCCAGAGACTTCAACACAAAATATAGTTATAATATAAAGGGAAACAATCAATAATATGCACAGATCATGTGATAGCAAACAATGCTAAAGTGTGTATTTATAACCAAATCCTAACACGGGCGTCTCACCCAGGAACTGCTGGTACTGCTGCACCTGGGCCGAGATGTCACAGAGCGCCGCGGGCTGCCCCGCCCCCCCCGCTGTCCCGTTGGCGAGGCCCGGCGCCTTCTGCACCGGCTTTATCCTGTCAGGGGTAAAGCCTGTCAGAGGCCAGGTTTTAAAGCTCCGGTGGGCGGTCAGAGGAGGCCTCAGCCACTCATTTTCCTCAGAGACGCTCAAAAAAAGTGGGCAGAAAGAGCCGGAAAGATGGAAAGACTAGGGATGTCCCCATCCAGCTTTTTTCATTTCCGATCCGATCCGATCCCGGCCTATCAGACCATGTGTTCAAGTTTAAAGTTATTTATCTACTTACTTAGTTGTCAGACTCATGTTGAACAGGGATTTGAACTTTCCTGGTTACAAACGGCTGCCATCAAAACTCTGAGCTGTGTCTGAAATGACCCATTTTGGGTCCAGGATTACGGATGTCCCGATCCAGCTTTTTGCACTGGCCTATCAGAGCATGTGTTAAAGTTGAAAGTTATTTATCTACTTACTTAGTTGTCAGACTCATGTTGAACAGGGATTTACTCTGATAGCAACTTAATGGTGAGGACACAGACCTGTGGGTCAGGAGATGCTAATGCTAATGCTAATGCTAATGCTCGTGTGGGATCGGATTGGATCTGGATCTGGAGTCTGGATCTGCGTTTTCTCCTGCCGGCCGATACGCAGTTTTTTGCAAATATTGGGGAATCCAATCGGATCCAGATATGGGATCGGGACCGGCCTAGTAAAGAGGCGGGACGGCGTTGGGGGACCTGTTTTTCTGTGTGAAGGGCTGCTGCCTCATGGCCATGTGCTGCTGCTCATCCATCAGTCGGAGCAGAGGGGAGCCCGACTTGATCCTCAGCCCGTAGTAGTGGTACTTGGAGTTTCCTCTGGAAGGCAAAGGGAGGGAAAGTTAGCACCGCATCTGGATACGATACTCATTCTCGATACTTTTCAAAAAACAGTCATTCATCTCGAGTGCAGAATTGAGGAAAACGAACACTGAACACAGTGTGATTGAATAATTCTGAGCACTTTTCAGTTTCAGACTCTTTTGTAACAGGTGCAGCTGCTGAGAATACAGCATTTATTTTTGTTTGTTTAGTTTGTAACTGGTTTGGCTAGTGTCATTGTTATGTGTGTAAAGCATAGCCAAGGAAGGAACACTTAAGTTAATTTTGTTATTTTTTTATCAAGATTGCTTAATATTGTGCACAGCATGCAACCTCAAAATATTGTTCATATTGTTTATTGTATTTATTCATTTTTTGTATTTTATTTATCAATACAATTATTTCTGTTAAACTTTGGGGTCTTGAGTGGTATATCTCAAATGGCATTGAGTATCGAATATTTCCCTGAGTATCGGTATGGAGTTGAACATTTTAGTATCCTGACAACCCTAGTTAGAGCTGATGAAACCTCTGGGATGAGAGGCCAAACGTCTTCCGGGAGACTTCGTGTCCTGCTGCCTAACTGAGCCTGTGTGTGTGTGTCTGTGTGTGTGTGCGTGTGTGGTGGAGGGTACCTGGTCCCCAGCCGGCGGGTGCGCAGCCCCATGAAGACTGAGCGGATCAGCTTCCCGAAAGAGGCGGCGTTGACGGGCTCCAGCTTCTGCTCCTGGCAGTGCAGCAGGTAGTGGTAGTAGAGGGTGCAGCGGGGCAGGCTCACGCCCTCCGCCCCCTCGTAGTTATCGCACAGCCACTGCACCTGGGGGGGGGTTGAATGGCGGGGACTATTATGTTTATGTTTATGCATTTGGCAGAAGCTTTTATCCAAAGCGATTTACAGAGTAGACACAATATTACTTTTCTCATCACTATGACAATAAGCTATACAGAGGAGAAACACTGATCAGAGTCAGTGGTGAGATAGAGATAGAAATAGAGGGACTACAGAAGGAGCTGTGGGGGGTAGAGGTACGGGACTGTTTCACATCCCTGTCCAGCTCTTCTCACATTTTTGTAGAGAAAAGACTTAATAAATGCAAAATACCAACCAACAAAACCAACTTCAGTCCATCTATGTGCCTCAAAAACAGGGACACAAAAAACATAATCAGGTCGTATTTCTACTTTCTGACCGTCCGGACATTTCCAATGGCCTAGATTTAGGGGGACCGGCCACATACCGATGTGTGATCCACCTCTGAGACTCAGGGAGTGGAGCATGAACCGTTTAAGATATTTACGGGGCCTTAACGGGTTAATTTGGCACCTGTGTGTACTCACAGTGGCGGGCGGGGCTCTAGAGTTGGGGCTGGAGTAGCTCTGCCCTCCTCCTCCTCCCCCTCCTCCACCTGCTGTAGCTCCGCCCCCTCCCAGCACGTAGCCCCCCTGGATGATGTATCCCCCTCCGCCCGCGGAGTTGGCGGCGCCACTGTTGGCCGCCGCCGTCGCCACGGAAACCGTCTGCGAGGTCACGGACCCGCCGATGTCCGACTCGGAGCTGGGCGCAGCCTCGTAGAAGCTGGAGGAGGCGGAGGGGGGGGTCTGGGAGAACAGGGGCGAGTCGGAGAACGGGTAGCTGCTCGAGCGGCTGGACGGAGAAGAGACACACACAGAGACACACACACACACACACACACACACACACACACACACACACACACACACACACACACACGCATATACATTCTTGTAAGTACCTCTGACTGAGGACCAAGTATAAGGACTCACAAACTGAGGACCAGTAGTTCTGAGCGTCGTAGAAAGATTGAGTTTTCAAATTTTCTCACTAGGTATCACACACACACACACACAATAAGGTGAGGAGCAGGAAAATGCCCTCACTTTCAAAAATAGACCTCACTTTGTTGGTTAGAAACTACTTATGGTTCTCACTCTGATGCAGCAACAAGGACACACACACACACACACACAGACACACAGACACACACAAACAGAGACACACACACGCACACACACAGACAGAGACACACACACACAGACAGAGACACACACACCCGCACACACACACACACACAGACACACACACACACAGACACACACACACACACACACACTGCTCACATGTTGGAGGTGGTGAAGGCCGGCTCCCCGGCTCCGTCCACATACTGAACCTGGCCGGCGTAAACATGCTCCACCTGAAGGAAACACAGACGGATCCGCTTTAGTCTTCATTCTTAGTTCGGGAAACAGCATGACGGTGAAACATTGACTGAGCGGAGGAGGTCTGAGGAGCTCACTGGCTTCATTTCAGTTTCAGGCTCCTAAAATCTGGAACAGGCTTCCTGAAGATGTGAGACAGACTCAACTCTGACAGTGTTTAAATCCAGGCTTAAAACGCTTTTTCCGTACGGAAATTGAACGTATTTTGTCTGTACCCTTCACTTTTCATCTGTCTAATTTTTTATTATTTTTCTTTTCCTGTTTTTCTGCTTTTTAATTCTCTGTGAAGCACTGTGAATTGTCGTGTACACGAAATGTGCTGTACAGATAAACTTGCCTTGCCTGGTGTGCTTTGCTACTGGAGCTGTTGCTGCCGCCGGTTTTTGTTGCTTGTTTGTTTGCCTTTTTTCTGCCTTCCCTGTGTCCATTTGCAGGTTCTCAGTCCGAATTGCCCACAAGAAACTGTTTCGTTACAGACATGGCAGCTGGTTGTGTGGTTTTGTTGTCTTTCTTTTTCTATTTCTCTCTCTTCCTAAAGGATCTTTCTCCTTTTTGGGGTTTGCTTTCCTTTTCTGCTCTTTCTTCCCTGTCAGGTTCAGCATTATTGGATACATGTAGTTTTGTATCATTCATAAATAAATAAATAAATAAATAAATAAATACGTTTTGTATAAACAAAGGGGGATTTTAACCAGTAAAACCTCCCTTGGCTAAGCCAATGTGTTCAGCAGAGAACAGAAATTAAATTTCAGTTCTTCTGCCACAATACTGAACAGGACAAGGTTTAAAAAAAAAAAGAAATAAAAAGAAATAACTGCAGAATATTTCTGTATCCAGCTGAAAAAAAGTGTTTTTTCTTTTCCTGCAACTCTGAGCCCTTTCAGGGCTCTCTGGCTATACTATGACTATACAGAAGACTTTTAGGGCTTAAAGGAAACAACTCAATAGATGAAAACTTTCCCATTTCGGCCCTGGTGACGTAAATGTCGGAAACTTTCCGACTGGTTTTCCTACCTGGTCTTAAGGATCGGGTATTTCCTTAATCTTCAATCCTTCAGACCAGGTATGCAAACTATTACGTAAGTTTCCCACTTTTATATGAGACGACTGCTTTGAATAGCTGTGACGGAAAAAAGGGAAAAAGTCTTTAAGAAGTAAGAGTTACTAAAGTGGGGGGGCTAAATTCTACATCACAGACATACAGCTTCAGTTTTTCTGCCTGTTTCACATCCCTGTCCAGCTCCTCTGAAATTTTTCTAGAGAACAGACTTAATAAATGCAAAATATCAACCAACAAAACCAGGTTCAGTCCATCTATGTGCTTCAAAAACGGGGACACAAAAAACTCCATCAGGCCGTATTTCGACTTTCTGACTCTGTAGAAGTGGCTCTCGCGCCTCCGGGTGACAAACAAATGCAGAGGAAGCCGTCCAGACATTTCCAGTGGCCTAGATTTAGGGGGACCGGCCACATGAAGATGTGTGATCCACCTCTGAGACTCAGGGAGTGGAGCATGAACCGTTTTAAATATTCACGGGGCCTTAATGGGTTCATTTGGCACATGGTCTGCTTTTCAGGGGAAGCAAACGTTAACTGTGTCTCGTTTTTTTTTTAGTAGCATCATCGTCTCTCCCTCCTAACGGAGGCTGAGCCTTCAGGCAAACCAAAAGGAAAACATTTCTGATTGGGCTGTAAAGAGGCGATGGAGGACCAAGCGAAGCCCGTTTTTTCAGTCGAGTTGGCGGCACAATCAAAATTCCTGAGCTAATAAAAAGTAGCCTTTGCCGAGTCACATGTTTCCTCCGTGTTCAAGCCCTAATCCACGAGGTCTGACAGAATAATGACCCCAATCAACACCAACATATATACATATTTAAAAAGGGCCTT